AAGATGTATGTCCACACCGATTTCCACGAACACATTACTTCTTTCAGAACCTCTTGAGACAGCACCAATACAAAGTATATATATATCCTTTAAATACTCTTGATATTTAAAGTAGTATTTAAAATTGTGTTTAAGGTAGTATTTGAAATATAGTATTCAAAATATCGGTTATCTAGTTCTAAAATATTGGTTTTAATTTATAAAATTGAATTACTATTTTTCTTTTTTAGGATCACAAACTATACAGTCAACTTCATTACTTTCGTCCTCGTTATCAAAGTCGCAAAGTGGTGCACCATCACATTCTCCGTTAATATCTAATACAAATTCACCAAGTTATATGACTTCATCAGATCCATCGAGCCCGGCTTCATCTATTCTATCATCTAGGAAGAGACGTAGTCGAAGCATATCAACAGAACCACAAGACGCTAAACGAATACGTGAAGGAGATAAATTCGACAATTTGTTGAACGAATTTATTCAACCGCGCAGTGAAGAACAGGTTTTCTGTAGTTTCTTACAATCTAAACTAGAAAGATTAGGGAAAAAAAATTATATACATATTACACATATCATAATGCAGGAAATTATGAATATCGAATTAGAAGAATCCGAAAATCAATAATAATACTAAATTATATTATTTACTAATGTTATATGTAAATAAATATTGTATTTTTTTATAAACTTAAATTTATTTCGTATATATATTTTATATAATGTGAATACAAATCATATTCAGATACATACAAGTTTCTTTAATCTCATCTTAGGTGCCATTGCCACAAAACAGCTCAATATCGAGGATATCAATATTAATTACATAAGTAGATATGAATCATGTATTTTTTATATAAACTTAAATATATTTAGTATATACGTGTGTGCGTGTGCGTGTGCGTGTGCGTGTGCGTGTGCGTGCGTGCGTGCGTGCGTGCGTGCGTGCGCGTGTGCGTGCGCGTGTGCGTGTGCGTGCGCGTGCGCGTGCGCGTGTGCGTGTGTGTGTGTGTGTGTGCGCGTGTATATTATTTTATAGAATATAAATACAAACTATTCATATAAATTTCTTTAACCTGTTAGACAATGTCCCATTGCCACGGAACAGCTCCAATATCAAGGAAGTAGTTTTTAAAGTGCCTCCCTCACAGTGGCTGCATTCCGATCATGAGTGTTGCTTCCTACTCTTCTTATCGACTGGAGTCCGTTTCGTATTTCTTGGCGCCATTCACCAAGACTTACTGTTCCATCTAACTGTATGGAGTCGGCAAAACCAGGCCTGCAGTACTGCGGTTTATCCATTAAAAAATTATGCAATACTATACAAGCTTTCACAATTTTTTCTGCCGTTTGTAATGATGTATTTATTGGTTCTTCAAAGATTCTCCATCGTGCCACCATTATGCCAAAGGTGTTTTCAATGACTCTTCGAGCTCTGCTCAAACGATAATTAAAAATTCGTTGATCATATGATAATGTTTTGCCTGGAAATGGTCTCATTGTATAATGGGTCAGCTGAAACGCCTCATCTGCTACCAATACATAAGGCATTGGATCTCCGTTCTCGATGATTGGGGAAGGTGAAGGTACATCTAGTTTATTATCAGCAAACATTTGTCCCATTAGAGAGTTCTTAAATACTCCTCCATCATTATGTCGACCTTCAGCTCCAATGTCGACAAGAAGAAATCGGTATGATGCTGAAGCCACTGCCATCAAATGTATACTGTGACTTCCCTTATAATTGTAAAACGTTGATCCAGATTTTGCTGGTGCCTAAAAATTAAAATATCATTTATTTATTATATTTACATTACGTGTATTAATAAAAGATATGCTAATAAAAAATTTTGCTGCTATTTTTAGACATTTCTTAATAATTATTATAAAAAGCTATTTTATACACCATTTTATAATGTTATATTATATATATTTATTATTTATTACATTAATTATATTTACTTACTATTATATTTTATACGCTATTTTATACTATTTTATATACCTTTTTATATAAATATACAAATACATATACCTTTACAACAATGTGCTTTCCATCCATCGCACCTATACAGTGTGGAAAGTTCCAGCGTATATAAAATTCATTTGCAATTTTCTTCCAATTGTCTTTTGAAGGCGTAAACATTTCATTTTTCAACGCGTTCCATAAACACTCACATGTATCTGCAATAATTGCTGAAGCAGTGCTATGTCCTACACGAAATGCATAAGCAATTGAGACATTTTATCTCCAGTGGCTAAGTATCTACATGTAGTTAAAAAACTAATTAATATATTTAATACAATTAGTTCTTAATAATTATTAACGTTGTACATCTTTCATAAACTTACCTTAATGTCAAATATAGTCTTGTGCGAGGACAAATGGGTTTTCTAAAATTTGTTTGAGTTTTTTGTAATGCAGGTCCACAAATTGCGAGTAGTTCGTCAAAGACATTGACAGTCATACGGCAATAATTAAAATGTGAATCTACGTCCAAAAGCCACATCTCATTAATCAAATGTTCACTATCTCCTTGCTCATTCCGACGTTGATTTATCGGACGAACCCACCATCGTCGTCGTCGTACCGATAAATTAAAATCATTTTGTTGTGCCGGACGTTTAAGATGCCAAGCTTAATACAAAGAGACGTTTTTGATGATAATCCATACCGAACTGTTTTCTTTGCACATAAAGATACAGCAATGTTAAAAAATATCTTTGTTTTTTATATATTATATGTCCGTAGCTAATTGCATAACAAGCTATATTCATAGAACAAATGTAACCGAGGTTAGATTATTAATTTTAGGTTAATCACTTTATTTCGTAAAGTTACAATACTTACGGTATATACATATATTTTAAATGTATATGAATAAAAATAACTTTTCAATGTATAATTGATTATATTTTCGTATTAATAAATACTTTCGTATTGTACTAAAAATAATTGCGCGTCGCTTGTCGCTTGTCGCGTTTACTAGAACCAGTATAAACGGATAAAATTAAAATCTTGCGAGCTCATCGCGCATTGCCCATCGCGCATCGCTCATCGCGTCCAGTATGCAGTAGCCATATGAGGCCGTAACAATAATCGCAAGATCCATACCAGTGGAAATAATTGCAGTAAAATATAGAAATATGTACCTCAGAGCAAAGGATTTAAGAAGCATAGGAATGGAACTAACACAAAGGAACAAGGACATTATGAGAATACAGACAACAGACCAGGCAATAGCTACATGGAAGAGCAGAATCCAAAGAAACACGGGTTATGGAAAAAGAGTAAGGGAAGCAATTGCCCCGCATATTGAGGAATGGATACTTAGGACGAATGGACGAGTGTGCTATCACATGACGCAGGTACTGATGGGACACGGGTGCTTTGCGGACTACCTACACAGGATAGGAAAAATGAAATCAAGAAGATGTGCGCACTGTGCTACAGATATTGATAATGCACAGCACACGTGCTCAACGTGGGAAGCAGAGAGACGAGAGTTGACCTCCAGCATAGGTGATGACCTTTCACTGAATGTTGTAATTAAAAATAAATATAAAGATAGTAACAGTAATTGGGAGGCATTCTCCAAATATTGTCAAAAAGTTATGATGCAAAAAGAGGAGGCTGAGAGAGCCCAACAGGCGATGACGCGGGTCCTTCCTCCTCAAGTAAGTAGCGACTAGTGCTATTAATAGTAGAGACCCGAAACGCAAAGTTTCGAAGATAGAGGAAAGACACGATGTCTTAGTAAACATCGTAAATAAATATAGATAAAACAAAATGAATTAGGATACCGTGCAGGAGAAGGGGGCGATCAGCTCAAGAGTCGCCAGATGCCTGAAGTAATACTCCGGTGGTTCCGGGCACCCGACGTTTAGGTTCGCGTAGTAACGCAGGACAGGGGAAGTTTTTAGTTGGTAGGCGGACCCGGTTATGTGAAGGCAAATAATGGCACTGGTCCCGTGGATCAGTCTATCTGGCGCGAAAACTGGGCCTCTCCACCGCCTGGGAATTGGCCCACATAAAGCGAATAGCCCTCTGACGGGTCTCACGGACTTGGCCTAAGCCACACAATCCGAGAGAGGTTCGAATCCAACACACCCATCGTGCGCGGTAATGGGTGTTTTCCTTCGGTTAGGTTCAAACTCCTGCAAAGGAGGATTGCCTAACCGGGATTTATGAAGATTTTATCCTCCTACGCAAAACAAAAAAAAAAGATAAGGTTAGAGTCCTACAATTCACAATAAAAGCAGCATCTAACCTAATATGGATAACGACAAGAGAAAGAGAAGTTAAAAGGTCTTAATCGCCAACGAGGAGCGATGAAAGCAAAGCTCACTTTTCGAATCTTCTTAGAGACGTTGGAAAATCGTGACGACACAGAAGAGCATGAGATCATAAATCTAGAACAGCGACTTAATAGAATTAAAGAACTAATTGTAGATTACGAGGTATGTCAAGGCGAAATTGAGCAATTGACGAAAGAAGACGTGATAGAAGAATGTTTCGCGCAAAAAGCCAAGTTCGAGGCGAATTTCTATCAATGGACAGCCAAAGCACAAAAACGTCTTAACGATCTAAAACCCGATACGGACGAAAAATACAGAGCGGAATCGGAACAAGCGTCACGAAATCTAGCAGCAGCGCATCGTAAAGTCAAGCTGCCCCAGCTGAAGCTTCCACATTTTGACGGATCGTACGACAAATGGCCAAAATTCCACGACATGTTCAAATCGCTCATTCACACAGATAAACAGGTAGATACAATCGCAAAGTTTCAATATTTACAAGGATCTCTTTCAGGTGAAGCGTTGACAGTGCTCGACGGATTCGACATGTCAGAGGCCAACTACGAGGCAGCATGGGAATTGCTGATCAAGAGGTATCAAAACAAAGGTTTGATGATACACAAACACGTTGAAGGAATAGTCGAATACCCGAAATTGATGAAGGAGAATCATATGAGTACTTACGAAAATTAGTAGACGTCATGCAAGGTCACATGAGTGCATTAACAGCATTGGAACAGCCAGTAGAGACATGGGATCACCTATTAATATACTTGATTTCAGGCAAGCTCCCTACATCTTCCAAGAACGAATAGGAGAAGGAAATAATAGAACAAGATGAGCTGCCCGGCATACAAAGTTTTTTCAACTTATTAGAAAAACGATGTCAATTGCTAGAGAAGACGGACAAGCATACAAAGGCCTCATGTGAGTCGTTGTCGACGCGATCAGCCAATAAACAGAAGAATAACTCAGCAACGCTAGCACACGCTAGTGTAACAAAAGGAAGTTGCATATTATGTGGAGAAACACACGCATTGTTCGCGTGCAAGTCATTTTTAGAAATGCCGGTAAGCACCCGAATAGAACAAGTAAAAACGAAAAAAGTATGCCTGAATTGCCTGAGGCCCGACCACATAGCGATAAATTGTAAGTCGCAAAAATGCCGCAAATGCGGAAAGTCGCACAACACCCTATTGCATCTAGGAGAGGATACGAATGGCGAAAGGGCGAACGAAGAAGAAAAACGAACTCTTCAGAAACAAGGCGCTGGCGACGAAACAAAGGAAGTTGTATCAACACATGTTGCAACCAAAGAATCAATACATCGTATATTACCCACAGCGATTGTGGAAATTGTCGGCAGAGCTGGACAAACACGCAAATGCAATATGCTTTTGGATTCGGGCTCACAAGCCAATTTTATGACTGCCAGCTTGTGCGCCAAGATAGGGCTTCGCACTGCAAGGGTGAATATATCCGTGTCTGAGATAAATCAAGTCGAAACTAAAGTTTTGGAAACCGCGAAGGCGAAAGTAAAATCCATGCACTGTGACTTTGAAGAGGAGCTGGTCTTCATGGTAGTCCCTAAAATTACTGCGCGTCTGCCTAACGAGCCATTGAGATTTCGGAGAGCAGATATACCTTCGGACATCTCACTAGCAGACCCGGACTTCCACAAACCAAAGAGAATCGATCTATTGATCGGAGTCGATTTGTTTTGGGACTTAATCAGTGATGAGCCATCAGAACATCCGTACTTACGCAAAACGAAGTTGGGATACATCATTGCCGGAAAATTACCATCGAGAGACAAAGCGAGAGTAGACACTAGATGTCATCTGATCACCAACAACAACGATCTTTCACACTATCTATAGCGATTTTGGGAAGTAGAAGAACTTCCGTCAAAGCACATTCTTTCTTCGGAGGAACAGGCGTGTGAGATACATTTTGCAAAAACCATCAAGCGAAGCAACGACGGCAGATTCATCAGCCTACCTCATCGTCAGCATACCATTCAAAGCACCAGTAGATGAGTTAGGCGAATCTCGAGAGATAGCAGAACGGCGTCTCAAATCATTGGAACGAAGGCTACAAAGGGACGAGAAGATGCGCGAACAATACACAGCATTTCTGCGCAATTATGAAGAACTTAGTCACATGACCAGGGTTGTGGACGGTGATCACACAAGCTCCGCTTGCTACCTATCCCATCACGGGGTGATGAAAGAAAGCAGTCTCACAACAAAGTTGCGGGTCGTTTTTAACGCCTCCGCACCGACATCTACTGGCGTATCCATTAACGAATTACAAATGGTTGGACCCACTATTTAACGAGACCTCTTATTTACACTTTTAAGTTTCAGACAACATCCATACGTCGTAGGTGCGGATATAACTATGATGTATCGCCAAGTGGTAATCGAGCCATCCCAACGAGCACTTCAGCGTATTCTTTGGAGGGAAAACTCCGAAGAGCCCATCACCGAGTATCAACTTAATACCATAACGTATGGAATGGCTTCCAGCGCGTTTCTTGCCATCCGGTGCTTACCCAGCCTGGCTGAGGAGCATCAAGGGACCTTTCTGGGAGCTGCCGACGTCATAAGGAACTGCATGTACGTCGATGATTTATTATTCGGAGCACCGACGTGAGATAAAGCAATCCAACTTGCGGTCGACGTATCACACATCTTAGCATCTGGATGTTTTGAACGAAAATGGATTTCCAACGATCCACAAACACTTACCAACATCGGTAGATCGAACTGTGTTCATGAAATCGTCAAACTTAGAGAGAACGAATCAACCAAAATGCTGGGTCTATCCTGGTCGTCTGTAAAAGATGAATTGATGTATCATGTGGTTTATAAGCTGATGTTGAGACCGTAACAAAGCGCTCTATCCTGTCATTGATAGCTCGGATATTCGATCCATTGGGCATGCTGGGTCCTAGCGTTATAATTACAAAAATGATGCTGTAGCGATTATGGAGATTAAAGATCTCATGGGACGACCCGCTTTCGGAAGAAATGCAGTCGGAATGGAGACGATTCATAAAGGAGTTCGCTGCGTTCAACGATTTACGCATTCCGCGCCAGGTCTGTTGCGCATCACCACGCCATATTGAAATTCATGGATTCTCAGACGCGAGCGAGAGAGCTTACAGAGTTTGTATATATGTTCGATCGACAAACGAAATGGGCATAGCGTCTGTTCAACTTTTGTGCGCTAAGGTGGCATCCATTAAGGCACTGACGATACCAAAGTTGGAGCTGACAGCTGCGCATCTCATGTTGAAGTTGATGGCTAAGGTGAGGGCGTCATTGAGTCTAAACATTGATAACGTATACTATTGGAGCGATTCGTCCTTCGTTTTGAGATGGATAAAAATCGAGCAATATCGGCTACAGACATTCGCGCGTAATCGTGTAATTGACATACAAGCATCAACATCCACTGTGAGTTGGAGGCACGTTCCATCCACCGACAACCCAGCGGATTTAGCATCGCGAGGAGTATTGCCGAAAGTCCTGGCGGAGCGAAGACTATAGTAGAATGGACCAAGTTGGCTAGGGGAGTCCAAGAAGCAATGGCCTGAGCAATATGTCGACGAAGGCAATAAGTTGCTCGTCGTGGCACACGCGGCAAAGTCTCCTGCGATTCTCAAGTTTACGGATCATTCCAAATTAGAAAAACTGACTAGAATAATGGCGTATTGTTTAAGATACATCAATATCGTTGTACACAAACTCTCATGTAAGGGCCCCTTGGCGGCGGAGGAAATACAACAAACTACGATTGTATTGATAAGATTAGCACAACTGCAGTCATTTCCAGACGAAATATACACCCTATCTGCAGGTAAAACACTGAGTACACGAAGTAAAATACACAACTTGAATGCGTTTTTGCATAAGGATAATACGTTACGCATAGGAGGCCGTTTGGGACGCTCAGATTTTGATTTTGATAAGAAACAACTGATGATATTCTCTTCGAAACATCATTTGACTAAGCTCATATTTGAAAGTGAACATAAGCGGCTTTTGCACGCCGGACCTCAAGCCCTGTTAGCGCAAGTTAGAAAACAGTACTGGCCAATCTCCGGTCGAAATTTAGCCCGTCAGGTAGTACAGCGCTGCACCCGGTGCTTTCGTAATAAACCTAGAATGATTACACCTCAGATGGCCGATCTACATCGCGATCGAATCAAGCCAGGTCCGGCTTTCTACAACACAGGAGTAAACTACGCCGGGCCAATCAGTACTAAGGACCGCAAGGGAAGGGGCGGCAGGACTTACAAATCCTACATCTGTTTATTCATTTGTTTGGACCAAGGCCATCCATTTGGAATTGGTTTCCGATCTTACAACAGAAGGTTTTATACTAGCTCTGCGCAGGTTTGTAGCACGACGAGGGATGCCCAACAAGATATCATCTGACAATGGTACCAATCTGGTTGGAGCACATTCCGAATTATGTTGACTTGGAAAATTTTTCATCAAGAATGAAAATGAGTTGGGGAACCTTTTACTGTCCGAAAGGATTAATTGGAGCTTCATTCCATCGTATTCACCGCATTTCGGAGGTATCTAGGAGGCAGGCGTAAAATCAACCAAGTATCACCTGAAGCGTTTCATGGGAGACGCGTTGTTGACATTCGAAGAGTTATACAGCTTACTGGTACAAATAGAGTCTATTCTTAATTCACGACCATTTATCATCTACGCCTTTGTCATCTCATCCTGATGATTTGTTGCCTTTGACTCCGGCTCACTTCCTCGTTGGTCGCGCTTTAACTGCCATACCGTGCCCGGACCTAACCGACATCAAGGAGTCCCGTCTGTCACGATATCAACGGATACAGCAGATTCAGCAGAACTTTTGGAAACGTTGGTCCAAGGAATTCATTTCCGAATTGCAGTGCTGCATCAAATGGAAGACAAATCAAGGAACGCTCAAAACGGAGGATTTGGTGCTTGTAAAGGACGACAATCTGCCTCCATTACGTTGTTGCCTCGGCAGAGTTGTGGAACTACATCCTGGGGTAGACTCAGTGACTCAAGCAGCTACTATAAGAACCGCTAAAGGACTGATTCGTCGTGCCACTGTAAAGTTATGCCCTCTGCCGATAGAAATAGCGCCTAAGGAAACGAATCCTGGGCAATACGGTGCTAAACCTAAAAATTAACGTGCATTTAGCATTTAAGTTACTTATTAGCTAGCGGTTGTTGATACATCGTCACTTCGATACTTTTTTTTTAATTTCAGTTCATCAACGCCAATATTACATATTTAATCACTTTACGACGAGTTTCTTTCGCCCCTGTGCTTGTGTTTTGCGTCGCTTCCTTCGTTAGTCATTTATCGATGAATGACTTTGAAAGATCCGAGATCTTCTAAGGCGGGGAGTATGTTTGCGTTTTTGAATTACTCAAGTTCCCGCGTTTTCCCTCCCTTCTTTGTTCCTCGTAATTCTAGTTTTAAGTTGGCAAGACTGACCGTTCTGTGCGCTCAACGAGGTACGATACACTTTTTTTGTTTTGTTATAACATATAAGATTTGTGTATATATATAACGGAAGATGAAACAATAAAATTATAAAAGGCATTTTTCAAGAGCAGTTATTATACTTTATACAGTTCACGATCACAAACATAAATATATTGGGTTGGTCCAAAAGTAATTGCCGATTTTTTCATTACAATAAAATACAATTTTTTTTGTACATAGAATGAACTTTAATCAGTGATATATTTTCCATTTTGTTCGATGACCTTTTGCCATCTTTCTGGCAACTCCATAATTCCACGCTCGTAGAACTTCTGGTTTTTATCGGCAAAAAACTGATTCAACTGCGATTTCACAGCTTCATCATCATTGAAAGTTTTACCATCCAAGTAGTTCTGCAAAGATCGAAATAAATAGTAATCTGATGGCGCAAGGTCAGGGCTATATGGTGGATGTAACATCAATTCCCAACCAAGCTCCATTAATTTTTGGCGAGTGACCAAAGATGTGTGTGGTCTAGCGTTGTCCTGATGGAAGACGACACTCCTACGATTGACTAATTCTGGCCGTTTTTCGTTAATCGCTGCATTCAGTTTGTCCAGTTGCTGACAGTAGACTTCCGTATTGATCGTTTGGTTCCTTGGAAGCAGCTCAAAAAATACCACACCTTTCCAATCCCACCAAATTGATAGCAAAATCTTCTTTTGGTGAATATCAGCTTTCGAGGTGGTTTGTGGTGGTTCATCACGCTTGGACCATGATCGTTTTCGCTTGATATTATTGTAAACAATACATTTTTCATCGCCAGTGATTATTTGCTTCAAAAAAGGATCGAATTGCGTTTGAGATGAATATCGCAAGCATTGATACGCTTTGTTAAATGAATTTCTTTCAGTTCATGTGGTACCCAAATATCAAGCTTTTTAACGAGTCCAAGGCGTTTTATATGATTGTGGATTGTTGATTTCGGTATTTTTATAATAACTTCTCTACAATCTCTCGCTCAGTTACATGGCGATCCAATTCGATTATGCCTTTGATTTGCTCATTATCAGCTTTCATTGACCGACCTGAACGTTCCTCATCTTTGAGCGAAAAATCTCCAGAACGAAAGTTATCAAACCAATTTCAGCACTGTCTTTCTTTTAAGGCTTCCTCACCATACACATCACGTAACTTTTTAGCAGCCTGCGCTGCGTTTTTTCCTTTACGGAAATAAAAAAGCAAAATATGACGAAAATGCTCGTTTTTGGACTCCATACTAAAACTGACGCCAAACTAACAATTTTTAACAAAAACACGTGCAATTTGCTTCTAAAGTAGGCTAAGAGTGACAGCTGACTAACGTCAGAAGAAAACAAATCATAACATTGACAGAAGACATTCACAAATACCATCAAAGCCATCTATGTGTGAAATCGGCAATTACTTTTGGACCAACCCAATATATTATATATTAAGTGTATAAATTAATTTGTGCAGTTTTTTCGCAAATTTTGACTTTATTTTTCACTTACATGTATACTTTGATTAGTCATGGAAATATTCTCCGTTAACATCGATTACCTTACGCAATCTGTCGGGCAATTGTCGGATTCCACCACGATAAAAGCTTAATGGCTTTGAAGGGATGAAGTCATCGACGAAGTTTCGAATGATTTCAATTGATTCGAAATGTGTATCCGATAAGGAGTGTTGTATCCATCGAAATAAATAGTAGTTTGAAGGCGCTATGTCTGGCGAATACGCCGCATGAGAGAGAATTTCCCAGCCCAAGCTAAAGATAAACCACCTTCGTGGTTTCTGCTGTGTGCGGCTTAGCATTGTCATGGAGAAATATGACCTTACGATTGCCTTGCTTTCGGCAAGAAAATTCTTCTTTGTATACGGTGGGACTAAAAGGATGTCCTCTATTATGAGCTCCTTGAATCAAGTTAGACAATTAAAGCAGAGATATACCAACAAAAATTCATTTGAGCGATGCAGTTGGGGAAAAACGGCCATTTACTGGACAAGACAATTGTAAGGTCATCTTACTCCATGACAATAATACGCCACACACTTCAGCAGAAACTACGAAGGAAATTATCTTTAGCTTGGGCTAAGAAATTCTCCCTCATGCGGCGTATTCGCCAGACATAGCGCCTTCAGACTACCACTTATTTCGATTAATGTAACACTCCTTATCGGATACACATTTCGAATCAATTGAAGACATTCGAAACTTCGTCGATGACTTCATCGTTTCAAAGCCATCAAGTTTTTATCATGATGGAATCCGAAAATTGCCCGACAGATTGCGTAAAGTCATCGATGTTAACGGAGAACATTTCCATGACTAATCAAAGTATACATGTAAGTGAAAAATAAAGTCAAAGTTTGCGAAAAAAAACTGCACGAATTAATTTATATACCTAATACATATATATTTTATTTCATAGTATATGTAACTGTTTATATAATAATAATAATAAGCTCGGGAGACAGCCACCAGTTGGGGCCTGCCAGCGACACGCAGACTAGGTCCATTGTGTCTTCCCGGCCGTACTATCTCCAAATCAGATCAGACCTGTCTTCTTCCAGAAACGGATGAGATCCCTAACCTGGAGTTGACATACCTGCTCGGGCTCGAGCAATACAGAGCCCAAGCCGCCTTTGTCCTCCATACGCTGGGCATTCACATAACACGTGGAGAGAGGTCTCTTCCTCGTATTCGCACTTCCTGCACTTCGGGTTGTCACTGTGCCCCAGCTTGTGCATGTGATAGTTAGTGAAGCCATGGCCCGTGTAGATCTGCACCGCCAGCCTGGCTTCCCCTCTTCTCAAGGCCCTAATGCTCCTGGCAAGGTCCCTGCTGGGCATCTCTCCCAGCAGGGACCTTGCCTGCTTGCACTTGGTTCTTGTTTCTTCCTTCCAATAGTTGATATGACGATCCCGTAACCAGCCCTTTATTTTTGCCCTGTAAATATAGCTGGGCAAACCCAGAGCCGGTTCCGATCCCACCAGCCTGGCTGATGAGTCACTTCTTGCCAGCTCATCA